TAATGTTACTGAATTGTACGCACCATATGACTCTTTCAGGTGTGCCTCAGGGTTCATATCTTAGACCACCACTATATTCGAATTCTATGAACGATTTAATCGAAGAAATAAAGTGTGGCAAGTTAATATATGCCAATGATCTAAAATCTCCGAATATCTCCTCTAGTGAATGTATTATTACAAAATAATGTACATATAGTAAATTGGGTGTCAGTAACAAATTGAACCTTAAGGTTAACAAATTCAGCATCCTTAGTTTCGATTATACCCCACTGAAGAGGCTGGAAAAGTTCAATGATTTAGGAATAAATAAATGACTTGACTAACAGTTCTAGAACCCGTTACAGTAACAAACATAAATAAATTGAAGTTACTCTATTATACTTATCCAATCCATATTGGATAATGGTGCTTTGATTTGGTCGGCCTTACGTGACAGTTATACTGACACATAAGTAGTGTTGAGCTTGTCCAAAGAAGGCTTTGCATTTTTTAGCCCATAAGGAAGATCACCCTCCTAGGAGATGCTGTCATGAATTACTACCATCCAGATTCAGTGAAATAATGATGCAATAGAAGGCATCCCAGTACGATTATGTTTTCAAATAACGTTGTACCTAATCATACTCGTTGTTTGTTTTTGCTTCAAAATATTAACTGGATAATCTTTTTTTTACAGAATTTAGGCAATCATTGGTATTTTTTATAATCATGGCAATGGTGACTGCTATAGCAAAACTTATCTATTTTTAACTCAATTATATATTTTAGACTTAGCTCTTAATTGTTCTTATAAAAAATTACCTTAATAGTTTCATTCATAAAATTACCATTATACTTATATGCATTAAAATTTCACTCAAAACGGGTGGACAAAAATAAATACTTCACTGAGTACGATGTGTGTGAAATTTCACAATTTTTTTAAATTTTATATTTGTGTGTACTTTCTATTTTTATTGTTTTGAGGTTTATAGGTCTCATTTTTGTGGTAGCACTAATAAAAATAATTCATTAGAGAATTACAGCTAAAGTTATTGAAAAAACGACCTGCAAGCAGGGACGGGGACTCGCCCGGCGTGGAAAAATCCAATTGCGGCAATAAACTGGGTTGCGTGTTCGCCCGCAAGCCTCCACACTTGCCCAGGGAACGCCTGGGTTGTAAAAGACATCTCATTATGCGAGGCCCCGCTCAATGCAATTTTTCTTCTGCATGACGGGCTGCATGTATTGGCGGCATTTTAATTATATGGAAATGAATCACTTTCGGAATTCGTTATCTTCTAAAAGGGCCCTTTCTTGCACGCGGCCCCGCTAAATTTTGATTTATTTCACCGGGAAACTTTCAGCAAAACATAAAGATAATTTAGTGTTGAAGCAACAATCATATTCTCCTTATAACGCGGCTCGTTCATCGCTCATTTCGGGAGTACGCGGAGCTTAAAATTATTTTTTACCGCCCCCCCCCCGGCTGCGGAACGGGATTTGCGAAATAAATTACGGCCGCCCAGAATGAAATTGTCTTAACAATAAGTCCGGTGAATGATTTGCGAGTTATTTTTTGGCCTTACTTGTTCCCTTATTGCGGCGAGATTTATAGGTAAAAAATACATTAATCACCTTAAACGGCAATAAGAATTAAACAAGGGCTTTTAATGAGAAAGGAACAATCAAGTAATAGAAAACGGGTGGCAGAATAATGATAAATTACACCCCTGGTTATTTTTCGTACAGCTTATGAGACGCCATTTTGATGAAAAAGTGTCGGCTAAAATTAGGAATAATTTTCGGAAATTTATAACAAAGGGTTAATTTACAACTAACGTCCGTAAGGTAATCGTACATTCCAGAGTAGGACTTACAATAATGTACAGATTTAGTTTACTATATCGAGTAATCAGACAGATCTTATTCTGCAACTGGTACCCATATTTTTGTTATTTTTCATTGTTACTTGTTCCTCTCTTTACATTTCGAGATTATTTCGACGATTGGAGATAATTCAATATCACCAAATATTTTGGTATATTTCAAAGTATTTCCAGGTATTTTGAAATATTCTGAAGTTTTCGAGATATTTCCACGTACCTATTTGGAGATTTTGAGCAATATTATTTTAAGTATTTCGAAGTTTTCAAAGAAGTTCTTCGTTCTTAATTTTTGCATTATATAGGTAACTAGCCTGAATATAACTGCAATATATTCATCTATTGTTGATCGCGTCTTGTATGTATGCGAAAATCGAGCTGATAAAAAGTCGAAAAAACCATCCAGCGTTGTTGTTTGCCTAAGACTCTCAGATATATGTATTCCGCATTGCCCAGAATGACATGATACTATTAGAGATTCAGCAGAAATTTTATTGCTGACTGGAATGGATCGAATTGCCTCCATGTTTCCTCCCCTATAAACAGGAAACTTTGGAGTCGTGTTCACTGGCATATAAAGTTGAGGGTAAAATTGACCCAGAACTAAAACAATACCTAAGGAATCTAAATCAACCGTGACGCTTGTCGACGGCGAACTGGAAACTTCTGCTAAAGGACCATTCGACAGACAATTTGGATACAATCAATATCCGGCAGCGGTGCATTTCGTCACTGAAATATTTATTTTCGTTAATTATAGAACGTTTGCTTTATAAAAACCTGTAGCTATTTTCTCGACGATATTGGCAATTTAAATTATTTAACGAAATAGGCAACTGGCAAGATTCTCTAGGTCAGAATAAAAATAACTGCAACCCGCGCGAGAGCTGTGACGTCACACCGTACGTTGTAAGTTCTATCATATCGTTGCCTAACCTACTCAAACGTTGCAAAGTTTTGTTTTCAGTTTATTAAATATAAAAGTCTTGTGTGCTTAGGATATTTTGCATCAATTTTATGCAGCTGCTTAGTTTGTAGAAGAATCTATTTTTTGTTTTCAACTAACAATAATAATAATTTGTGGAATTGGCCATTACAATTCCTTTTTTATCATTAAATTTACAAGCCACAAAATATTACTAGCACAAAATATATGTAATGTAGGTGTCGATGTCGATAGAACGGTGTGACGTCACAATCGATGATAAACCGTTTTGCTGTACAAATTTTGAAATTTATACTAATTTTGACGTTTTTAGTATTCCATTTAATGCCACTTCTGAAGCGATTTTACACGATATTTTTAATTTATTTACTGACATTTATACTGACCGAAAATTGAACATTTTTCTTGTGAAATCGCCCTGTATTTTATTATAGATCGGAGGGTGCATTCTGTCACATATAAATATAAAGCATCCTGTCATGTAGAAAAATATCCCTGTGCCCGAATCTGTTCGAATAATTTCTGTAAAATGCACTGGAGAATAGGTATCTCCGCTTAGGTTTCCAGAGCTCGGTTAACGTCACTGAGAGAGAAATGGCAGAAACTTTTTTTACGTGGAGGAAAATTCTTAACCCCGTCAAGCCATTATATATCTCTTATCAGGAGAAAAGACTTTGAAACTCCAGTAAGTTGGAATTTTTCTTAAGCCGATGCCAATAAGTAGCCGACCCCGGAGCGTGAGAGATAAAAATTGACAGAGAAATTTGCAATAAAAAGGCTCACTGCAGTGAAAGAACTCAACGAATGTTCAGGAGTCGTTGATCACTGCGGAATAGTTGAACAACTATTAAGTCTTACATTTTAAAATTCTGTAATTTTTATATATACACGTGTTCGTAACTTTCCCTCACGAATTTTTGCTTTTCAAACGCAAACAGACAAATGTTCCACAAGGCAAGATGTTTAGCTTTAATATTGTACGATTTCTCGGTTTTTAACTCACGTCTCTTTTTTAAACGAGGGCAAATCAGTCAGACATCAACATAAAATGCCTTTTTTATAGTCGCGCTTCCTCCCAAATAGCGTTTAAAATAAACTGCGTACAGAGTAATACACAGAGAATGGAAACCGAGGAGAATTTATAAAACTTCTGAGAGCAATAAACAAAATACAAAACATATAAAGCACAACAACGATGCTTTTTTAACGGTTTCTAAGGTGGGTTGTCATTGTGTAACAGTTTTTAAGCAAATACTTAATTTTTTATGTTAAATGAAATATCACACCTTTAGAGATATTCAAAGGGGACGAGAACATAAAGAACATATTTATTTTTAAAGAATCTAAGGTTTAAAATTAGAATAACGTTACTCTTTAATTCTGTCAGATATCGATGAGTGTCATTCCACAGTTCAGTGTGATTTGAGCACCCTAAAGATTCTTTTTTGCTCGTTTTTCATGACAATGGACAGAAAGGTAACTTATTGCAACTGTTCTTATACTATACATGCTTTTGTGTAAGGCTATACTGACACTTTTATTCGAGATCATCCTGTACATTTACAATTTTTAGAATATCAGTGACGTCGGTATATACTTGCGTACGTCAATATCAGGACAATGTCACTGATTCACAGCAGTTCGATTTGTTTGTGAAACAACAGCGGTATTGATACAAGTTTGATAAATCTCAATAAGCTAACGTATATACAAACTAAATCTGTTTGCTTCTCTTGCCATGTGGGAATGGTGTAAACATTTGATTTGAATACTCGTGCAAATACCTGCAATGCGTGGTGCTATAATAAGAAATTTAATTAATCGTTACCTAATTTACTAACACAATGCAAGTGTTAGTATGTTCTGCTGAAAACGTGATTCACCCTATTACCCGTTTTTGTAGGTCTTCCCGTCCTTAAGCTTTGGACAAAATGTAACAAAGTTAGTGGGAACTAGGATTGCCTCCACATACAGGCGAGATGCTCGTGCAACATTTTGACGACATTCCACACCAAATCAAGAACTCGAAAAACCTAAGTCAAAAGTGAAGACTGTTGCTTTTACAATTCCAAGGGCATTGTCCACAAAGAGTTCGTTTTTTTAACTAATTTATTATTACGCAGCTTGACAACGTGGAAAAAACTATCAACCCCAAAACCCACTTATTAATAAACATGCCGACTTACGTCTACGGTAACTCCTGGTAGTGGAAAGGCCTGTGTGGGCGGCATGTCTCGGGGGACATACCGATAAAATTCATTGCCATCTTTGTACCACTTGACGCTGTACAGTGTCTCTCCATCCAAATCGAAGTGGCACTCCAGTTTGGCACTCTGATCCCTGACAGAGTGACTCGGTATCCTGAGCTCCACCAGGTGCAAGGACATCCCACCTACAACAACAGACACAGTTAAATAAAATAAGTTTTGATAAAAAAAAAGCTGACTGTTTATTTAGTCATTAAGACTCTTGATACAGTAAATGTAGACAAAACGCTGTAGTCGCAGAATGGAGTCCTGCAGGATTTGTATTACTCGTCCAAAGAACACGTGATTATGGACAACTACAAACTCAAGTGACAACACTTACTATGAGGTGTATTTAAGGTCAATACTTTTGGTTTAAGATAACAAGATGCATCTGTAAAGATAATTTCCAAATTTATACACACTCTGCATAATACGAATGTTCTGAAAACAATCTAGGGGCCATCTGAATTAAAATACTAAAAAATAATATTGCAGATAGAGAAATACTCGTAAAAAGGTAGACCAAATCTTTGCTGCTACACAAAATCATTAATATACTCTGTCAAATTTAAACGGTATAAAAATCAATGAAATAAGATCCTATAAACAAAAATGCTCAGTTGTCTCGGCCGTCTCAGTTGACACAGGGTATCACAATTTTAAACAATATCGCATTATTTAAATATCTCTTAAGATGCTTTACTAGATTTATGTAACTTAGTCTAATGGCAACTAAAATATGTTGTGTCTAAAATACTAAAATTAATAAATTTTAATTCTTTTCTATGATTACTTTGATATTAATTTTGATAGGCTCCAAATTCGAATATGATACTACTGGAAAGACTGTCTGTTTTCAGCTATAACAATTAGTTTGACCACTTTGTTTTAATATAAGAATATTTTTTTAATTACTGGTATAACTGGTCTTAGTAGTCTATGAATGTGAAACTTTTATTTTCTTTGTTTCTCATGGCAACCTATGACTTTCGTATCTCCTTAGGAGGCTACGGCCACGCTTTTGCTGCGAGTTTGGCAACGTTATACTTATCATCGCATTTAACACTTGCCAATTTCGAAATTCAATTAAGAGCTCTAATTTGCCTCAGTTCAATGCGGCGATATGGAGAGTGTTCGACTTGTTACACCACCACGTCTGGATGCACCCGAACATGACTTTGAATACAAAGCAGTGGTAAGTTCATGGAGTTCGTAGGAGCCATTACCATATATCTGTTTTTCACAAGTGCATTTACGACTTACGACATTTATCTGCGATAATTAATAGTTTGTAAGCGTCCGCGCGAGTCATAATAGGAATAAAGTTATTGTACCGTGCATTGAAATTCAATCATTTTAGTAGTTGAAATATATTTGATTTTTTCTACTTTATCGGCAAATTTGACCGCTTGTCAATCATACAGGATGTTCCTTAATTCGACTGCCAAACTTCTACAGGGTGTTTCTTGGTAGAAATCAACAGAAAAAGGACAAATAAACTATGGATCAATTCTGATCCTTTGTAAAACTATAGCAGCTTAAAGATGACCTGCCAGCAGTATTTTTTCTTAAATATCTTCACATACATACACTTTATAGGTGATATCACAAAATATTTGTGTTTGCCCTACTTCAAAATATAAGAGAAACATTATTTATTTTCACATTTCAAGCATTTTGCGACATCTAGAGCAATCTAGTACGTAAAGATTCTTCTCCACAGAAGTTTTGTCGCGACATGTTTGCTGCGGTTGAAGTACGGAGTTGTATACAAATATTTAGTTAGTTAGGAAGGTACACGAAACGGAGCAATAATTATTACGTAAGACTGCCGACTCTGAAATCTGAGTAGATCCTAGGGGACATCATAAATGTCCCCTGACATCCTTGAGGAACGTTCATAAAATTTGTATTGATGCCCGTGGGCCCGACCTTTAAGGGACTACAAGTAATGCTTGCAAATACGGAAGTAACGTCGGTCATTAAACTTTATCTTTCCTCGGTTGGTGCTTCAGAAATGTAAATGGCGCAAAAAGAACATCGTTCGAGACGTCAATGAAAATATTGTTAGCGACAGAATATTTAGTTATGATGAAGAAAGTAGATACTATACTATTAACTTAAAGAATAACATATCTAGAATATCAATAATTATTGCTCAAACCGGAACAGGGAACATTTTTCTTTATATCCGTTTCTATACAGTGGTATGGTCTTTCTGATCTCAGTTGAAAAGCCAAGTGGTTGACAAATTTCCTAGCAGTGCAGTGCAGCAATGCGGAATTTGGTGTGATTCAGGTAATGTTAGTTTATTATAAGCACCTTCTATTGATCATTCATATTACAATTGCGAAAGGGAGAAATAAGAGGGATATTTTGTTTACTAATATTATTACAATATGGAATTTTGGAGACCTATTGAAACGAAACAAAACGAAATTTACCATCAATATAATAAAATTGTTTCAGGGCATAAATAATTAAAATATGTTGACCAAATGAACACAGAGGGTGTTTGTAAATAAGTGCGAAATATTTTAGTGAGGGGGTGGTTGCCGAAGTTATTTTGTGAAAAAAAGTTCATATCAACGTAGGTCGAAATATGCTTCGTTTCCGAAATACAGTGTTTAAATTTTAATTTTTTATTTATTTTTATTAATTATTTCAAAGAGTTTTAAAGATATTGACCCGAAATTTGAAAAATACTTTGGAAGGTAAATGTGCATTTTATGGGGTGATCCAAATGTTTCTACTTGCACCAGTGGCGTTCGTGCGAGAATGTCACAACTTTTTTAATAAAAAAAATGTTACGCCACTGACTTTTCCCGTTTTGCTATTTTTATTTTCAGAAATTCGCCATCAATTCTGAATAGAAATTTTCTACACATTATATAGGTACAAATTATTACAATTTTTTACCTTTAGAAGAAAACTTTTTAGGGACGCCTATGGACCTCGACTTCGGAAAGACTATACTACAATTTGAATATAACGGTACGATTAGAGTACATATAACTTAATTCATAAAACTGGTTTATGGACGCTGATGTAGACTGCAGAAAGAGGGAGACTATATGAAAAATGGTATAAAGGGATGTACAGACGTTAATGTTTATTGGATTACCCTGTTTTGCAACTATCTTTATGTAAATGTTAAACACGGCTCTAACAAAGTTTTGCTTTAGTTAAAATGTAATTGCATAAATTATATTGACTCGGCTGTAGAAGCGCTGAAAACAGGGATAAGAATTCATTAGAGTATTCAATTTACTACAACTAGTAAACGAGTAATTATTACGTGTAAGCTTTTAAAACTTGCAGTCCCCCGAGATCCCAACTCGAAATGCACTTCCCTAAAAACGTGCTTTACTTTTCCGCATAATTCTATTGATCTTGCGCCGTAAACTTTGAATTCACGGGAGGTAGGAGCCCTAGGAAGTTATAAGCATTTCTCCCGGGCACATCTCTCCGCATCTCGTTTATTTTTAAAGTGTTTTTAGACCGCTCCTCCACAAAGAAGGTGCAGCGCGCAATTTTATAATGAAAAAGTATCACCTACAAAATATAATTATACTCAAAACACTTTGGATAAAAACCTCTGGCGAAAGGACTGTCGCAAATTATATTTCTCCCATGTTGCTTTAAAACTCCTGCGAACGAGTGTAGAGAATTATGGTGTGTAGTACTTTTTTATTAAAATTCCGAATTTAATTCATTTTATGGAGACGTTAATCATTTTATTGCGATAGATGGAGAATGTCAAGTTATTAGCCCAGGGATATGAGGAAAATGCCGTGACTGTTGAGTCGCCAAGGATCTGTAAAGTTTTTCATAAAATTTGGGTGAATTTTAGTATAATATATGCAAAACCCGCACACCATCAGGTGAGGTTTTTTAATAATTAACCATAAAAGGTCTAAAATAACACAAAATATCACTTTTTTGCCTACCAGAAAAAAACGATAAATTTTATTATAATGTGAAAGTAACCAACTTGTAGGGAGTAAAAAACCTCAAAATGGCGGTTTTTAAAATCCGATACGATAATTTGTTGCTCGGGAAATTGCAAAAAACTGTCAAAATTCGATTATTACTAAATAAACAATAAGTTTACCTACCTACGACTTTGATATTGCATAAATAGTTGGCTTTTATAGTCCTTAATATGTGATTAAAATTTGAGACCGATTCATCCAATAGTTTTTGCAAAATTCTAAATGTTTATCCCAGCGGCATTATTTTTGCAATAACTTGACATGCAAAATTACCAAGATATTTTAATTCTGCGGTTGTCATATGAAAGAGAAAAACTTCTTTTATTGGAAGAAATTATTTTATTGCAAAAAAAATTATTTTTTACCACTGCAAAAACGTACCACAAAAACACTGTCTTTTTTGTCTCATAAACAATTAAAATAAATTTGATCCTATTATATTTAGAGAGATTATTTTTCCATATTCGTAAAGCTGGTATTTTTACACAATTTTTTTTTAAATTGCTCTAACTACTTTGTTTATAACAATTAAGACTTCTAATAAGTGCAATTTCGAAGATAAGTAGCTAAAGTTTCTATGTGCAATTTTTGAGGACGTTAGCTTTGTAACAGCATCTCTGAGAATGCTCCAAATAATGTCTTTGATACAAGATGACTGTGAGTCAGTGGAGGGGGAACCTACAAATCCACGAGCAACTTGATAGAGCAAGTTATCTCTGGAATTTGTTGACCGATTTTGATGTTTGTTTTTTTAATTTGGAGTACCTTCTTTCTTGCTTACATCACAAATATGCATTTTGTTAATAAAAAAAAAAATTTCTAGTAATTTGTTTAAACATTAATAAAAAATTTTTTTGCAAAATATCAACCTCTTTTGTAATTTTTTGTAATAGAACATTATAGGAATTATTAAATATCATTTTTTAATAAATTAATATTGCAATTAACGAAGTATTTCGTTTTAAACTTTTACCAAAAAAAAAACTTAATTATTAATATTTTCGGAGTTATTTTGATGGGAAGTTATAGATATAGGTTCAATTTTTTTCTTATTAATAAATTAACATTTAAAATAATTGAATAACTGATGCAAAAGTGCCCCTCCATAAAAGCTGCAGAGCCAATAAAAAATGATTACAGGAATATAG